TCACCCGGATATGCTTGCTGTGTTCATGGAAAACGGGGTTCTTTGCTAGGGCCAGAGCGGACTTGCTGTGCACCTTGAGCTCCACCGCTCTAGTGTCTCTGCCGAGGAGATCACCAAGCAGTCGAGCAAGCCAGAGCGCCTGAGTTGAAGCAGTGGAGGCCGCTATGTACTCGGCCTCGCAGCTGGACAGGGCCACCACCTGCTGCTTGACCGACTGCCAGCTAACGAGGCATTTGCCGAGGAAGAAGAGGATCCCGCTCGTGCTCTTGCTGGTGTCGATGTTGCCGGCGTGGCCGCTGTCACTGTACCCGACGAAGTGTGCCGCCCCAGGGCACCTAGGGTAGTAGAGGCCGTGGTCGAGAGTCCCCGCAACGTAGCGGATGATCCTCTTCACAGGCTGCTAGTGCTCCGTTGTCGGCGCTGCATGAACCGACTAACGTAGCCGACGGAGAATGCCAAGTTCGGTCGTGTGTGGGCGAGGTAGCGAAGGCTCCCCATAAGACGCCGGTACTGCGTAGCGTCCATCTCCTCCGTCGTGCTGTCGTGGCTCAGCTTCAGCCTCTCCTCCATCAGAGTGAGAGCTGGGTTACAGTCAGTGAGCCCAGCTAGCTCAACGACGTGCTTGGCGTAGGCAGTCTGTCGAAGCATGATCCCAGAGTCATCCTGGTGCACCTCGATTCCTAGGTAGAAGAAGAGAGGCCCCAGGTCACTCATCTGGAAGGTGGCCTTCATCTCTTCCTTGAATGCTGCCACCTCCGCATCCTTGGTGCCAGTGATCACCAAGTCGTCGACGTAGACACCCACCAGCAGAGCATTTCCTCCACTGCCCCGTCGGTAGATGGCCGCCTCGTGCGGGCTTTGCTCGAAGCCCATCCCCTTTAGTGTGGAATCCAACTTGGCATTCTACGCCCTCGGTGCCTACCGCAAGCCATAGAGGGCCTTGCACAGGCAGAGCACCTTGCCCTCCTTGCCGGGGATCGCAAATCCCGGCGGCTGGTGCACGTAGACCTCCTCCTTCAAGTCGCCGTTAAGGAACGCCGACTTGACATCCATGTGATGAACACGCCAGCCCTCCTAGGAAGCTAGCACAAGGAGGAGTCACACAGACTCCATCCGTGCCACGGGAGCGAAGGCGTCATCGAAGTTGACCCCCTCCTGCTGCACGAAACCTCGTGCCACCAAGCGAGCCTTGTGCTTGACGATGGCGCCGGCTTCATCCCTCTTCAGCCTGTACACCCACTTAAGGCGACCTATCGGTGACCTCGATCGACATCGTGGAGAGATCCTAGGTGCGGTTGTTCTCAACCGCATCCATCTCCAAGCGCATCTTGGCGTGCGGGGCGCAGCAGAAGAGCTTTTCGGACTCTCTCGCCAAGGTGTCATCGCCGAGCGCACCATCTTCGCAACAAAGTGTTGATCGAAGCTGTCAAGTCAGGCAACGTCCAAACACGGCGGTGAAGAAGGTCTCCCTCTCCTGCGATGGTACCTTAACGGCTTGGACTTGTGGCGCGTTGATCGGCGCGCTCCTCGTCGTGAGAGAGCAAAGTAGCGAGCGCCCCAAGCCTGAGCTATGCTCGAACACGAAGCTTGTGGTGGAGTAGACGCATCTCGGAGTGGTGCCTGTCTTTGGAGATGAGGGTGGTGGGGCCGGGCGAAGAACTCATCGAGCCGAGGTCCCGGTGGAGAGTGTGGTGATGCCGAGAAAGCTCTAGTTTGGTTTTGGTGAAGGATGAAACCCTAAATGCTAACCTAGTTTATCAAAAGATCATGAGATAGATAGCACACTCCAAGTGATGAAGCAAATGAAGATCATAGCATGCCCATGATGATGATACCATGATGATGATCAAGTGCTTGGACTTGAAAGAAGAAAGAGAAAAACAAAAGCTCAAGGAAAGGTATAAACCATAGGAGCTATTTTGTTTTGGTAATCAAGACACTTAGAGAGTGTGATCACATTTAGGATGTGGCCAAGCTCCTTGGCAAATATTAAGAGGGGTAAAAAAGACCCGCAAGTGAGAGACCGCGGTTATCAAAGTGCAAGCCTAGATGCTCTAACTCATTGCATATGCGGTTGAGGATATAGTGGAGTCACTAACACCTTTAAAAATATTTGTGAAAATCCCCTAACACTTGTGAACAAGGTGATACACTTGGTGGTGTTGGCACATTTACAAAGGAGGTGGTGCTCGGTGCGGATTGACACTAGCGAGTAGGAAAATGGAATGCCTATTTTCTATTAGCGCCGGATGAAAATTCTTGATGGTTGGCACATTTGAGCAAGGTGAAGAAGTTAGAGTTGAAATGGAGTTGGTCGAAATGATCTTGGCCGACCGGTCACCATCACCGAGCGGGGAGAGGTCTCTCGACACTCGACGGACGAGGAAGTAGCGTCGTCCTCCCGTGTGGCGTGTGTCACAGCAACCAAGTCAAGATGGCTGCAGGTTGAGCCTCTCCTTGGTTTGTGTCCGGTCAAGGTGGACTCGGGGACGTCGTCTCGGTCAAGAAATACGCGTCTCGGGAGCTTATCGAAACATCGCTGGGGCTTCAGCTTACCGTCCGTCGGTTTTTGTTCGCAGGCCTCGCACCATCTCCGTGGCACTAAGCCGCCCGTGGCCTCGAAGTGAAGGTGCTTGAAGCGCGGTGCCGCGCGTGGCGTCCCTCGCCTCGCGCGACGTCGACGCCGGGGCGAACCGTTCGGTCAAGATGTTGAAGCATCCTGCATGTTGAGGATGTTTTGCCGATTGAAGGGGTATCGTTACTCTATTTGAAGGGGGCTCTATTTATCCCAAATCCTCATGACTCTATCCTCAACCATCACGCTCAAGGTGAATCCTTGCACATTTTCATTGACATAGCAACCTTGTGTGAGCTTAGCAAAAGCCCTTCCACTCATCTCCATCATTGATCCATCATCATTGTGAGATTGGAGAGAATCGGCGCACTGCATTGCATCCCCAAAGTGATTGCATCTAGAGCGCTAGACTCAAGCTCGGTGAAGAACTCCTGGATTTCGGTCATGTTTCTCTTGGTGGTTGCGAGGCACCACCTAGCCGGTTGAGCAGTCGGTGAAGGATCGGCACGAGTTGGTGATTGTTCGCTGGTCAAGGTAGAGGTGATTGTGAGGGGAGTTGGAGGTAGCTCGATGCTTGCATGTGTGAGTGCCAGAGAAAAGCTCTCCTAACTCTAGTAAATTGCTCGTGGGTCATTGAGTTACCTCACTTGTGGCTCGGTTCTTGCGGTGTCCTATCGTCGTATCGTCTCGAGGTTTGTGAAACACCTCTTAGCCGCCGAACCACCAAGTGTTGGCATCGACACCTCGCGGGGACTAGCGTGTTGGCAAAGCACGTGAACCTCGGGAGAAAAATCGGTTGTCTCTTGTCGGTGCATTCTCCGGTGATTGGCTTAATCTTCATCTTGTGATTGGTTTCATTCCTCACACGCAGTGGTATAATCACCCTACTCACTTATTTATATTCTTACAAACTAGTTGATACAAGCTCTTTAGTGTAATTAGAATTGAGAGCTTGCTTTACCGGATTTATATTCATCAAGTTGAGCTCTTTAGAGTAGCAAGATTGAGATAGGTGTTTCGTGAGAGTTACATCTTCTACAAGTTTGTTGTGCCTAAGTAATCATTGCAACTAAAATTGTTGGATAGGTGGATTCTCCCAACCTTTGTAGAGCTGGAGCAAGTTTGCATTACGCTTTTTGTCATACTAATCAAATTGCTCTAGTTGACTTGTAGAAGTCTAAATAGGCTATTCACCCCTCTAGCCATATGAGGGCAGGACCTTTCAACCGCATCCTCGGTCTACGTCTCCCACCGGACTACCTCCCACATGTGCCGACCTAGAGCTTTACCCTCATCACCGTAGCCCACTCGACGTAGTTGGTCTTGGTGAGGGTAGGCCACCCACCGCCGGGGCCGACGTCCCTGACAACAGCCTAGAAACCGTGGTAACCATGGTACCGATCCGGGGAGAGAGAGCCACGCTGCCTGTGAAGGTCGCGCTCTCCATCGACCCGCCCGCCACCGTTGCCGCGGCGCGCGCCTCCAGAGCGCCACCGGCGCGCGTCCGCGCTGTACCGTTCTTGCCGCCGCGTCGTGGCGTGTGCGCGGCTCTCTAGAGAGCGCCACCGCCGGCGCGCCTCCTCCAGAGCGCCGCCGGTAGCGTCCGCGCGCTATCTAGGCTGCCGCCACGCTTCGTGGGCGCGCGGCGCGCCCCATCGCGCCGCCGCTTCGCCGCTGCCTCCTCTCTAGCAGCTCGAGGTCCGCGTCGGCGGTGTCGTCGCCGAAATAGACTGCCGATGCCGCCTTGCTGAAACCTCGACCTCCGCCGCCGCCGCCGACGCGCTGCATCCGACCGCCGCCGTTGCTTCCGCCTCCGCTCTGGCTGCTGCCAGCTCCGCCGCTGCCAGCCTCGACGCCCTTGCCACCGCCGCAGCGGTCTCTGCCGCCGCTCGCTCGCGTTCCTCTGCCGCGGCACGTTTGGCCTCTTACTGGACGCGGCAGCTTTCGAGGCGACCGAAGGCCGAGACTATCTGCGGACATGACGCGCTACCGTGGGGCTGCTGCGTGGGAAGAGGGCTGTTTCAGACGCGCAGAGGGAGAGGAGTGAGCAGGAGCGGCTGGAGCTGCTCTTGCTCTAAGTTTGGTATATGCTATGAGGCTAGGGAAAGAAGATGAGCGGAGAGATGTTCAAAGCACTGAGGATAATACGGCTATGATACCAGTTGTTAGTCGTTGAATTCTCACTCTTGGTAGTAGCAGAATTCTTACTCTAATCGAGAGAGGATGACACTAAGAGTTGAGACAATTTTCTGGTTTATTTCCCAATGCCATGCCAACCTGAGGGGTTGGGGATACATATTTATAGGTTGCTAGTCAGCCAAACATATGCCAAGATGCTAGTCTAAGATGCTAATATGCTGTCCTAAGATGTTGTCCTAGCTAAGATGCAGCTGCAGCCAGCCCCACAAAGACCGCCACCAGAGACTTATCCCATCAGATTCTTCATAACCCGAATAGGAACTCCTTCAGGTAAGCTCAGAAAAGCAAATGCTATAGCCAACTTCTCACTGTGGTGCGCCAAACTAACTTCTTTCTCCTCATCCTCCATGTCATGGAAAACCATGCTCATGTCCGGTGCATATCCACATTGTCTGATCTTGGTCATCATTTCTTCCAAACATTCATCAATCTCCCTTTGCCTTGAATGGGATTTATCTCCGGTGCAGAATTGGTGAATCTGACCCTTCACCTCCACCCAGCTAACTCCAGGCTCTTTCCTCACGTTCTGTTCCCTCATGGTTTTCCTTACCTTACTGACATCCTCCCATCTGCGGCTGGTAGCTCGAATAACACGTTCTGCTATCCTCTTGGCCACGTCGAAATTTTTCTGGGTACATGCAGACAGTAGTGTCTTCCATATGACCCCATCAGGTTGCACGGGCATTGACAGGATAAGGTCCTCCGCCTCATTTAGACAACCTGAACGTCCAAGAAGATCCACAATACAAGTGTAGTGTTTAACACTTGGCTTTAGTCCATAAGTATCAGTCATAAGCTCAAAACAACTCATGCCTTCATTTTTAAGACCACTATGGCTGCATGCATATAGCAAGGTCAAGAAAGTAACCTCATTGGGTTCTGCACCTCCAGCTATCATCTGTTTGAACAGACTAATTGCCTTTTGTCCGTGCCCATGGAATCCATAGGCTGAGATGATCACACTGCAAAGGACACAATCTGTACCGCTATACCCAAGGCAAACCCTTTCCGAGTCACCTAAGCACCCGCATCGAGAATACATATGCACAAGAGAAGTCATGACTGGCACAACCTTGTCAACTCCGGCTTTGATAGCCCGTGCATGGACCTGCTGACCTTGTGCAAGAGCTGCCAAGTCCGAGCAAGAACTAATGGCGCTGACGAATGTGACTGCATTTGCTTCCACACCAGCACCTCTCATCATGCAGAAATACTCGAGCGCCCCTTCCGAGTCTCCATTCTGTGTTCTTCCAGCGATTATGGTATTGCATGACACAATGTCAAGCAAAGGCAGTAATCGGAGAGCAGCCTCCCCTTCTTGAAGAAAACCACACCGCATATACATATGCGCCAACGAGCTCCCAACGTACATGTCCCAGTCGAGTCCAGACCGCACAACGTACGCGTGGACCTGCCGCCGGGGCACAACGTCCCTGAGCCCGGCACAGCACCAGAACAAGCTCCCGAGCCCAAACTCATCAGGCTGCATTCCCTCGCTCCGCATGGCAAGGAAGAATCCCAGGCTCTCCTCGTTGAGTCCCGAGTTGGTGAGTCCAGCAACCATGGCATTCCACGTCGCCACGTTCCTGGCGGGCATTTCGTCGAACAGCTTCCGCGCGGTCTCCAGGTCACCGTTCTTGACATACCCCGATGAGGATGTTCCAGGACATGACGTTCCGCTTAGGGATTCTGTCGAACAGAGCGCGCGCGGCGGGGAAGTCGCCCAGGTCGGCGTAGGCGAGGAGGAGGTGGTTCGCCGTGAACCGGTCGTTGGCGGCGCCGGACGTGGCGGCGAAGGTGTGGAGCTGGCGGAGGAGCGGGAGGGCGCGGCATGCCCGGAAGATATGGGAGAAGAGGCCAGGCTCCGACCACAGGCCCTCGCGGAAGCGGCGGTGGAGAGCCTCCTTGACGCGGCCAGTGGAGCAGAGGCGGATGATCTCCTCTCTTCTGGCGTCGGGCGGTCCGGTGGCGAACTTCTTCAGTGCTGAACTTGCCATAGCCGCCGCTAGGACGCAGAGGCGCTCGGAAAGAGGCAAGGCGAGGCAGAACAGAGGGGGGAAACAAGAAGGAATCAACGACAACGAGAAAGGCCATGTAGTCGTTCGCCGGCGCGCAGCACAGCACCCTCTGGCCCCCTCGGTGGTCATGTGCGGTGGCAGCTGATCCACAATGGGGCCATGACAGCGCTCGATCGATCCGAGGGTGAGGAGCAGCAGGGAGAGGGAGGGAAGGAAGGAGGGGGAGCACAGGGGGCGCGCGCGAGAGAGATGGAAGACGACGAGGAAGCAACAATGCGGCGGCGGCTCTGCGCCTCTGCTCTGCGTGGGAGAAACAGAGGAGAGAACCTGGCGGCGTGCAACAGAGAATAGACATCACCCATGCGAATGGTCTGCTTTACCCCTGCACTGCAGGCTGCAGCAGCGATTCGTTCGTTCGCCCACGACTTGCTGCAGCAGCTCCGGCCGCCGCACCGGGCATGTTTGGTTGCAACCTGAATCATTTGCCTGGAGAAAGATGCTGCCTGCATGTTGCCTCTAACTGTATTCGATTTTGCCTGGCCAGGCAACCGCAAGGGTGACTGTTTGGTTGAAGTTTATTGCCCGAAAAAGAGAGCTGTGGGCCTCTAGAGAGTTCTCACGTTGATTAATGCCCAGGCAACAGCATGTAGCAGCCAGGCAGTCGATTTTGATCGCCTGGGGAAGAAGCATCTGCCTAGTCCAAGCTGCTGTCCAGGGTTCCAACCAAATAGCTTCCCAGCAGACTACAGGCTACAGATTTTTCAGGCAAAACTGACCAAGGGCTGCATCCAAACACGCCCGCGGCCTTTGGAAGGCTCGGCGGAGTTTCCGGAGTACGCCACACCATGTGAACACTGAACACCAGTGCAATACGCCGGCCAGACGTCGTGAGCGGCTGCGTCCAAGTCGTTGATGCTGTCCAACAACCAGATAAATGGGAGCACTGACCTCGCTCGTCCGGAATTATGGGATCCCTCTCGAAGCTAGCTAGCTAAAGCAAGCCGTGGACCGACGACGACATGCTGTTTAGGATTTGATTTTGACTCTCTCCTCCCGCCTCCCGGGTCCTGGCCTCACCTCCTGGAGTCATGGCGTGACCTCGCAGACCTGCAGAGCTCGGCCAACTCGCGCTCCTGAACAGTTGTGCTGTGTAGAGTTGAAATGTGGGCATGTTGGATTGGATGGACAACGCGGTAGAGGATTACTCTGGCTGGAGCTGGATGCAGAATGCAGTAGAGGGGCGGACTATCCTGCTACTACCTTGACCATGACTGCGTCGCATGCAGTCATCATCCACATGGACGTGAAGTCATGATCCAGTGTCATGGCGCTTGGGGTTCTCTTCTCTGTTCATGGTGCAGAGCAGAAGCAGCTTGGACGACGGCTGCCGAGGACCGGGGCGTGTTGGGTATCAAGCGAGCGGGCGTGCAGGCTGCGAACGGGAGCTAGACTGTGACTAGCACAAACAGCGTCGGAGATCGGAATCACCTCTACAGGCAGTCAGAGGCAACAGAAAACAAATTAATTGTGAAATAGCCATTTTTCATCTCTCCATGCTTAATTTTCATCTTCTTTGAACTATCAAAATGGTCACTTTACTCCTTAAACTTTACTTTTGGACTAAATTTCATCATTGAACTATCAAAGTGATCATTCATTTTGATGAATCTATAGAGTATAGACTATCAAAGTGCCTGATGAAGTGAGGACCGTGACCGTCTGCATATTTGCCTTTGGTTCATACGGGTAGCCGATGGTCAGTGGACACGTTTGGAGGCCTGAACGGCTGGTGCTGGACCACTTGCGGAGCATAGCCGTCACACAACCACTGCAATTGCACATTGCAGCAGCAATTGGGTTCTGCTTCTGCTCCATAAACAATCCACACACAACATAAAAAGGCCAGAAAAGCAGCCGTTGAGCTGCGCAAAAGACGAGCAAGGCGAGGCCGAGAGCCCCCTCGCACGCTGGGGGCCAATCGCGATTCGTGTGATGTGTCTGTCCAGGATCCTTCAGGCGGGCCGCCAGTGGGCAGTGGTGGTGCCTTTGCCATCATTTTCAGTGCATGCACGTACTACTCACTCTGGTGACTGTCACACGAAACGAAACGACCAGATACGGAGTAGACGACTCCCCACGGTCCCGAAACGATAAAAAGACTCTGAACACAGTACTACACGGATGACAGTCCAAGGATATCTGCCCCCCTCCTTCTGAATCCTGTCTGCCATATGAAGCAAAAGGCTCGCTCACGTGAACACCCTGCCTTTTCCCGTATGCGTACAATGCGCACCCGTACGGCAGATCTGGTGGCCACGCCAACAAGTGTTGTAGCAGCAGTAGATTATTTTCAGCAAAGCATCTTTTCTCTGTTGGATTTTCAGGCCCATCACCAGCTGCTCGCAGCAAGCCATCTGACCTCCACTCGGTTTTCAACCGCCGGTGTGATGGATGGCCTCGCCACGCTTTGAATCTTTGATGATGAGCAGGCCACTGTTACCTTCCTTCCACTACGATGATGATGCCATGCGCTTGAGGAACTCGCAGTTAGTGATAAAAGTGAAAGTGAACTCTTCGTCTTCAGACAATCAGACATCAGAGATCAGAGCAACATACTGAAGTGATGGTGTTTGTGTTGGCAATAGAGATGGACACGTCTTGCCAGTCCTGGTGATGACTCACTCACATGGACATGATCACATGAGCTCTCCCTCATTGCCGACTAGAACAGTAGAACCGCGAGCACTCGGCTCCTGACAAAAGCTCGCGAGCTTTTGCAGAGACGCGCACGATGCGAGTGCGTGGCAAGTGGCCTGCGCTGCGCCCGTTCTGATCAGCTGAATTGATCTGCGTCTTGCAGTTTTAAATGTGTATATACTCCTGCAGTATGTGTTTAGGTATGTCGTGAGCATCGTTTCAGAAAGTGCACGCTCTGATTATGCACGTGCTGACTGGTGAGGAATCAGAACCAGTGGCCTTTGTTCAATGTTCATGCAGATTCAGAGATTCTGCTGGATGTCCAGTCCAGATCCTTGGCCTATTTCGGTGCATTCCTAAAGTGCTAACTGGTAGTACTAGTTTAACAAAGGGCATTTGTTGTTCAATTCTAACGCGTGGAGATCAGGGGAAACTGTTCGATTTCCTGTAAGAATCCGGAGAAAATCACCCCTTCCAAAACCAAACAGAAGCCTCAAATGTTCTACTGAGATGCTCTGCCAGTTCCATTGAAATTGCATTTCCATTTCTGCTCCTTCCCTTTGATCCACATCGCAAGCTGTAGCATCTAATTTTCTGATCCCATTGGGAAAACATCCTGTACAAGTTGGGACCATCCATGTGCCATCCTCAACCCGAATTCATGTCTGGAGACGAAAGAATGTAACAAAATCAGTTGCATAGTACTGTACCAAACGAAGTACTGTTGTTGGTAGAGCAAGAATTTTTTTTCCTGACTGGAATTCAATGCAGCAGTGTTCTTGACTGGCGCGATGCAACGGTCAATTTTTCACCCTCCAACGACGATCATATGGTTTAAGCCTTAAACCATTTCAGTTTCACCCACAATCAACCATTTCAGTTTCGCCCACAATCAACCGCATGAATTCCCAAACGCAAAAACGGAGATGACGCCCGATCATATGAACGAATGAATACAATAGACATTATTATTAATGTTATTGATTGATGTTGCCAACATTGACTGCAACAGCCGATAAAAAAACTTAAGAAAATCTGACACGAGCAGATTACACGGAGAAGGGAAGATGATGAAACGATCAAGAAAACGAACTAGACTGATCAGCGATCAGTAAGTAGCAGAGGTAGAGAGCAATTTCAGCATGCTATCTAGAGTCTTAACTCTAGAGGACCCGGTCGGAGAGCGACGGCAGGCGGCGGAAGAAGTTGAAGCCGGCGGAGGGGATGTCGCCGCGGAACCTGGGGTGGCGGAGGCAGTAGAACCCCATCCCCAGCAGCAGCACCTTGAAGGGCACCGCGTACAGAACCAGCGCCGCCAGCAGGCACACCACCGCGAACACCGCCGTCGCGCGCGGGTCCCGCCACGACAGCAGCGCCTCCACGCGCTCCCCCTGCGCCGCCACGTCGCCCAGCAGCGTCTGCGCCCGCCCGGCCACGGCGCGCAGCCGGTCGTACCGCATCCGGACCACGTCGGCCGGGCGCGCCGAGGGGAGCCCGTCGAACTCCTCGTCCAGCTCGTCGGGGCTCACGCTGTCCGCGTGGGACAGCCGCGGGTCCATCCCCGTCGGCTGCCGCGCCCGCGCGCGGTACCGCCACAGTAGCACCAGGAACAGGTACAGGCACACGGTGGGCAGGATCATCTCCGGGCACAGCACCACGGCCACCAGCAGCGCGTGCACCAGCACGGTCGTCGGCGGGTGCGCCCAGGTGCGGACCCGGTGCGTCCACCGCACCGCCGTCGCCACGTGGGACAGGCACCCGACGACGCGGAACCAGTTGGCCTTGCTCCGCCGCATGCTCCACGAGTGCGTGTCCGTGTCCAGCAGGTACTGCACCACCTCGGGACCCAGCGGCGGCTCCGACCGCGCCAGCCGCCCCGACACGATGCGCATCGCCGTGTGACGCAGCACGTCCTGCTGCGCGGCGCCCAGCGGCTTCACGTAGTGCATCCGGGGCAGCAGCGGGCTGCCGTACGCCTGCATCAGCGTCAGCCACGACGGGCAGGTGAACCGGATCGCCAGCTCTAGCTCGCCCATCTTGCGCACGCCCACCGGGTGCACCGCCGTCAGCGCGAAGGTGTTGGCGTACACCCGGTTGGTGTCCAGCGTGGAGAGCCGGATGCGGAGCTTCGCGATGCGGGAGTCCCTGGGCAGCTTCCCGGGGTCGCGGCCGCCGTCTGTGGCGGCCTTGTACCGGACGTTGTCGAAGACGGCGATGGTGAGCACGGTGCAGGGGTCGAACACGTCCCACGCGTACTGCTCGTTCCACCGCGGGTTGAACTG